TGGAGACGCGAGGCAGGGGGCAGGTTCTCCCCGAAACCTGTCATGAATCTTCTGCCACGCTGACTCTGGCAAGCCGCGGTGGTCCCCTGCACAACTGCCTGCGGGCTTCGTGCCAGGGTGCGCAAGGACAAGTTTGGCATCGACTTTCCTGAGTTCCCGTTAAACAAAACGATATGTTTCCTGGGCGCGGCTTCAATTCAAACAGTCAGAAACCTTAACGAAACAGGCAACCCCTAAACCCTAAGCCAAACCCCTAAACAACACCTAAACTCTAAACCCTAAACCCTAGAACCTAGACCCTAGACCAAACCCTAAACCCTAGAGCCCTAAGATACACCAAGTTTCTCCCTGGGTTCCGGTGCTGGCTCTGATGCTTTGGGCACCTTCTTCACCTGGATTTTGAAGTACGTAACCAAAGAGAAACAAGTATCAGTATAGCCGTGTATCTCATAATGGTCCCCCAGAGAGCCCAATACCCCGTATCTACGGAAAATACCTTGAATTATGGGGGCCTTAATATATTATGATTTAAGGCATATTCCTTAATTAAGGGTCATTGGGCTCTCTGGATCCTTTCAAGCACTCAAGGATGGTACTCCAGACCTAAACCCCAAACCCTAAAACATCAGTATAGACGTTTATCTCATAATGGCTCCTTTCAGGAGAAAAACGGTCCCAAAAAAGCGTGCAAGGATGGTAACTCCAGAGCCCGGTCACTGGAGGTCGGCGAGCCCAGGGATCCTCCTTCAGCACCGCTTCGGAGTTCTTCCTCAAGGTGACCTGGCAATACCATTGGGTAATAAATCATAATCATCATCATGATAATAAGGGTAACCAGAACAAGATTAGCAATTATAGCAATCATGCAAACAAGCATAGTAAGTATGACAGTAACAAAACATTGACAATGTAAGCTTAGAGTTGTTGAAAGGAAAGCCACTAAACAAACGACAAGAACAACGATGTTATTCTTCCTCAAAGTGACCCAGCCGGACAGCCCGGTGAGTCCATATTCCACGTGCGCTGACTTGCTGCACACCTTGGGGAGTATATGAACCTTACACTTGAGGTCCTAAGCCCGTAAATGGCAATCATCCTAAACCCTAAACCCTAATCCCATTGGGTCAGTATACAGCCATAATGAGTTAAGAATACCATAGAATGCACCCCAAGACCATATTCCAGTTAGGAAGGCCCCAGTAATATTATTCCCCAAGCACCTCGTGGATGGTCACGAACATGCCCTCTCGTAGGAGCCCGCGAATCTCTGACTCTTTGCATTTGGCAGCTCGTACCTTCATGGCCAAGTGAAACCCACAAGAGCTCAGGGTTCATATTTCTCACATAGTAAATGCAGCAGTGTAAAAAGTCTCCTATATACAAAGCATAGTGTAATATATACACATATATATATATATGTACTTGTATATATGGATTTCTATTGAATATGGGTATATAACCGATGTATGTATATAATTATATATAGAGAGATAGAGAGAGAAAAGAAAAAAAAAACAAGAGATAAAGCCTTATTTCTATAAGAGGGATTCCTTCCGCAAGGTACCTTGACCTCCTGCAAGACTTTCGCTCTCCCCGGACGCAGCAACGGCTCCTGCAATAAACAAGCTAAGCTGAGACCTTTACGGATGCTACCGTCTAGGGTTTAGGGTCCCTGGCTAAAGATAATTTGGAGGATCATGTTTAATATTCTTGCTATTGCTATTACCATTACTGTTGCTATTTGTATTATACTTATGACTATTACTATGAGTCCTCTTATAAGTATTCTTATTCTCCTTATTACTAGTAGTATCACTGTTAATTATTGCTTGTTCATTTGTTATTGTTCTTTTTCCTTTATTAGTAGCAGTACACTAGGTGCACATGCCCAGAGCGATCGACCCACAGTGCTGGCTTGTGGACTGTCCTCCGCTCGACTCTTCTCTTGGACTTTCGCATCGCCGGCGCTGCGCCGGCCGAGCAGCCGTGGATCGTCCGCATCGGCGCGGCAAACGGCCGCATGCAGCGCTGCAGGATCCATGGCCGCTCGGCGCGCAGCTTAAAAGAAGGAACCGCCGAGCCCGGATTCACTCTAGTTGGGCTTTCAGAAGGCCTTGAGGCTGCAGGAGCCGTGTGGTATGATATCATCACGAAGCATGCTGGACGCTGGCCCACAGCCCTAACACTGCAAACTTCGCCGCCTAAACCCTAAACCCTGAATTGTGCCGATGGTGCCATCGCAAACTTCTCGTAAGGATCGTCCTGGCCACAGCTGCACATCCTGAGCATGGGCGTGCCGATGTCCGAAACTTCGGGGCTGGAATTGCAGTCAGTAAATCTGAGAAGCCCTGAATACTTCAGCTGTGTGAACTGCTGCAAATCCCGAGAAACTTCTGCAAAAAATCTTGATGTGAGCCGCGGAAATCCTGCTGCAAGTCCAAGATTGCATCAGAACCAGAAAGAGCTAGAGTATCTCATTCATCCTTTCTTTGTTACTCTCAATCTTGTTATCAGCGCTATCACGCTTCATGTCCAACGAGACTCTTGGTCTGCGCCCTGCCACGAAGGAGCCTACATCACTTTACAGCTAGGAGTTCGGATTAGAGGGACCCTTGGGGATCCAGACCCTCTGAATAAGATCCCCGAAAAGAGAGCCAAAAGTAGGGTTAAGAAGGGTCCCCTTTAAGGGGTCTCCCTTACTACCTAGGAACAATATGTCAGCCTTCAAAATCAGAGTAGGGTGTTGCATGACCTGCTTGCTGTTGAAGAGCCCCGTCGCACGGTAAATCAGAGTAGCTTACTAAAGTGCAACTATATGCAACTTTCTAAAGGGCTGGGAGGGAAATGATAGGTAGCCTGTTTAAAAATGTGGACAATTACTGTGGGCAACTACTAGTTCTTCACAGCC